TGAGATTATCACACATGTTATTCTGATGTCCAGCAATTCAGGAAGCTTTGTAGGTCAGAGTTGAGCAACAGTATAGGTCAGTAAGAAGACAGGTAAGTGGTGCTTACAAGGTTTGCAAAGTAGTGACATCTGAATCTGTCTATAAATGGTAGATTACTTAAAAATAACCCAATGATTTTTGAGCGTTTGGGATTGGTGACACTGCATATTATTCTTCTGCATATGGTGACACTGCATATTATCCTCCCTGTCCCCGCCCCCCACCAGGCTGGTGCCCCTGTGCTAAAGTTGCCAGTTCTGGTTGGATCTATTCTGGGAGGTTTCATCACATGACATAACAGTTTTAAGGCCTGAACTACTGGGAAAATCATTTACAATTACTACCCAGCAGTTTGCCCCAGTGGAAAATAAGGACCTGTGGATGCAGCAGATTCTTCCTAGGCAAGCAAAGAAGTTCAAGCCAGTCCCCTAGTCACTGTGAGAATTCCCCAGGGTTTTCCCCCTAGTTGCTCACACCAGTACCTGGGGAATTAATCTGTAATTCCTGATGCTTCAGGACAACACTGGAGGGTTGGCAAACAACACCCCCCCCTCTCGCCCCCGCAACGCAGCTGCTGTGGGCAACCGGACCTCCTCCCCCTGCCCTGCCCCGTGTTTCCCCTCTGCTCGGGCCCGGGCTCCCCATCTGTGTCACCCCATCTCCCGGGCCCTGGCTCCCCCGGTGTCACACCCTCTACCCTCCCCGAGGCTCTCCTGTCGTGTCATCCCTTCAGGCCCCGAGTCATGTCACCCCAACTCCCGTCCCCGCTCCCCTCGAGCCCGGGCTCCCCCCGCGTCACTCCGTCTTCCATCCCGGCCCCCCTCGGCCCAAGTTCCCGCCCTGTGTCACCCGCTCACCCCGTCCCTTTCCCTTCGGGCCCAGGCTCCCTTCGTGTCACTCCGCCTCCCGTCCCCCGCTGCCTTCGGGCCCAGGCTCTCCCCCCGTGTCACCCCTTGGCCCTTCCCCCAGGCGCCCGCCCCGTGACACCCCGTCTCCCTCTCCTCAGGCTCCCCCCCGAGCCACTCGGCCCTCCGGTCCAGGCTCCCCGCCATGTCTCCCCGGGCCGGGCGGAGCGGTTTGGCCGCAGCACCCGGAAGTGGCGGGCGGGATATAGCGGAAGCGGTGGGCGGGCCCGGGTCTCTTTGGTGCTGGCGGCCGGAGGAAGATGGTGAGTGCGGGGACGGGGACGGGGAAAATCCGCTGCCATCCAGCGGGATTCGGGGCCTTGCGGGGCGCGGAGACGCTGCCCGGGGGCCGGCGTGTCCGTACGCCACGGTGGAGCTGCGCGCCGGGGCTCTAGGCTGCCCCTGCGGTAAGGCCACGGCGGGCCCGCGCGGAGGCGCCGCTGCCGCCCCGGGAGCAGCCGCCGCCGGCCCCTGCTCCCTCTTGCCGCGCTCGGAGGCTGGAGGAGCTGGACACGCTCCCCCTGAGAGAGCTGGGGCTGCGGGGTCTTCCGTCTCCGGGTCCTCTCCGCGAGCATCTTCCCTCGCTGTCCCCCGCCGGGCTAGAACTCACGGGGCTCTGCGTGGAGCGAGGCCTTGTGCTGGCGAGGCGGCGTTACTAGAGCTCGGTATTGAAGGGTAAACCCCCTACCTGCCCCGTAAAGATCCGGTAAAAGCCTCCTGCGCGTTGGGGCTCAGTGGTGCAAGAAGGGGTTGTGGTAGCGCTTTAATAAGGGGAGCCAGGCAAACATTGGGGGACATGAGGTAGGGAGGGCAGCCGAGATCTGTGACTTGTCAAAACGATCCTGCCGAGTTGTCTTTTTGATGAAAACTATAAAAATGTATCATTGGCTTGTGCAGAACGAGCCTGCCTTGTTGGTGAATTGATGCTGTTCCCCCAGTTTACTCGCAATGAGAGATCACTTGAGGGGTTGAGAACAGAATTAGGAATCTGTAAAAATTTCTAAGCGGTTGTGTTATCTCATTTTTCTGTCATAAAGGTGGGATATACAGAAATGTAAGTAATTCCTGTTTAAGAAAGTGAGATGTGATATGTAAAACTTAGATATGTATGTTAGATGTGTTTCCACTTCTGCATTTGTGTGTACTTTTGGTTGTTTCATTAAAATGTCTGAGTGTGAGAGTTTCAGAAGACTTTACTTTGTTTTGAGGTATGTAGTTAAGTGCTAGCCAAAACTGTATATTTTTATTTAATACAGCTTTCTGACATGCAAATTTCTGAATTGTATTTCAGACTAAGGGAACATCATCATTCGGTAAGCGCCGCAATAAGACCCACACTTTGTGCCGTCGCTGCGGATCCAAGGCATACCATCTCCAGAAATCCACCTGTGGGAAATGTGGGTATCCTGCTAAGCGCAAGAGAAAGTGTAAGTATGGAACCTTCAAAAATTATCTGTGTAAACTTGTTGTTTGAATTAGTTTTTCATGAAGAAACTGTTTATACAATACCAGGATAGTCACTTGTGAAAGTGATGGTTCTGTCTAAGTGAATACAACCAAACCAGTGTGGTTTTTTTGTGATTTAATAGAAAAAATATAAGGAGTTCTGTGGTATTTTGCAATGCACCTTCTGTTTTCTTTATTTACATAGAGAAACTTCTATGAGAAAATACGCGTACAATGGGATGCTCTGCATATAGCTACACTTCTCCAATATACAGTGTATCCTGTAGAAACAACCATTGTTCGATGTACACATATTTTAAAATAATATTTTAGTGGTATTACTGTTGCTCTGGTTTATTCCCACTGTAAAACAGGGATGGTGCTTGCCTATCTCATTTTATACACTTAATTGTGTAGGTGAAACAAAATAAATCTGTGTAAATTGCATTCTAGATAACTGGAGTGCCAAGGCTAAAAGGCGCAACACCACTGGTACTGGTCGTATGAGGCACCTGAAAAATGTCTACCGTCGATTCAGGTACAAGTTACACTATAACATGAGATCTTACACATACTTCAAATACCTTTTAAAAACCCATTATCTAAATGAATACTTATTGCCATTTTCTTTTGTAATTTATGCAGTACGTATGTAGTCTTAAATTTTTCAGTTTGTTGTAAACATCTTGTGATGGAAAAGGTATTTGATAATTCATATATTTAACCCAACATACCTTGGTAGCATTCTCCATTTGTTTAGACTTGTAGTTCTGAGTCCTAATGTAGGATCTGCAACTAACATGCCAAGTGAACTTACCTAAGTCACCAAAGGTTTAATGAATGTTTATAAATGCTTTGGAAAGCTCAGTTAATGGGGGCTACATAGGGCATAAAGTAACTATACCAGTGTTTTGTTGTTGTGGAGTGAAGAACCCAAGAGGAAAGGAGTTAGAGGGGTTTTACACAAGGATAATACAGTCTCTTTGGGATAATTCGGTTTTTTTTTTTGGTTTGTTTGTTTTTGCACTTTTGTTTGCACTTTTTGAACTACTACATGTTTGGACTACATTTGTTCTAGCAGACTTTAAAGGAGTTTCACTTCATTACTAAAATGATCTCTTTTTAGAAGGTATGTCTTGTCCAGCACTTGTTTTTGAGCAGATTACTTCATGGTATTACTAGATCTGCTGATTCTGCCAGGCACTGATAAAGTGAGTTGAAGGCATTCTGCATGTCACAGAATTGGGCCAGTTGTCCACTTGAAAGAATACTTATTTTTTTATCTTCTGGGTGGTGGTAGTTGCATAGTAACTACCTGTAACTCAACAACTTCCTGAAGCAGAACTTCTTGTAACAGGTCCTTGAAAGATTTCAGAGTTTTTTACCCACATGTGGCATTACCAGCAGAATCCCAGGGTATGATTATGATCGTAGTGTTTTGTTTTAAATTGTGGAGGAAATCACATCATATAAAAGAGAAACAGAAATGTTTGATTTTGATTTCCATAACAGCAGCCCATGAATAGCTAACATATTTTTGTTAGCCTGTTCCTTTTGCAAGAAATGCCATGATTGCCAGTTGATGAGTTAGCAATTTGGTATAGACACTACAGTAATACTAATTCAGGAACATGAAACTTATACAACTGAGAGAGTTATGTTTGATAAGTTGAAATTGCATTCAAAATGAGAATTAATCATTTTAAAGTTGTGCCTTTCATGTTTCAACATAGAGTTCATATGTAGTCTAAAGCATTGCTGCTCCATGAAGGTATAAAATAAAACTGAAACTTCCTTTAAAATGAACATTGATTTTGGTAGTGACGTCTGTAGTGTTGCTCTTGAAAGTCCAAAAAAGATTTATAGCTAGAGTCAGTGTTAGCTCTTATTCTTTTGGCCAGCATAGTCTTTTCCTAACAGCAGCTGTCAGAAAAAAGTTGTAATAAATCACATAATGTCCTGCTTCCTACAACCTGCTACTGGATACATCTAAGGCCATGTCTATGCTACCACTTAAGTTGCTCAGGGTGTGAAACTGAGAGACATAAGCTGAGAGACATAAGTTACACCGACAGAGCGCTGTCTATACCGGTGTTTATGTCAGCAGGAGAGCTTCTCCTGCTGACACAGCTAACATTGCTTGTGGAGGTGGTTTTATTATGTTGATAGGAGAGCTCTCTCCTGTCGGCATAGAGCAGCTACACAGTGATGTGCGGCTGTAAGATCACTTATGTAGACATGGCCCCAAGGCATTGGTTAGCTGCATTTAATTGCCTTATCTTGGTGAACTTTGCAGTGACTGTTCCCTTGTTTGTTTGTTCCCTGGCTGCTCTCACTTTGCTTCAGTTTTACTTCATTAGTAATTGGAGACTGAGGGATTTGTGTTTGGAGTAGCCTTACATCTAATCATACAGTACTTACTAAAGTGAAACTCCCCTTGGCTTCAAAAATCACTTGCTGGGAAAAGAAAAATAGAATTATTTCTACTGGAGTTTTACCTGAGTAAGCACTGCAGGATTGCATCCATTATGTTGAGACCTGTACTTCTGGGTAATATAACTTTTACTAGGAGTGAAATTTTAAATAGACGCACTGAAATGTTCATGAGCAGCTTGTCAATGATGTTTCTTTTTAAAAATGTCTGAACATATGAGTTCCATAGTGATTTTGACTTCTAACTGAGATAAGCTGAACCAAAAACATTCTCTGAAACTTTCTAATAAATACCACTTTATGGAGCCTGGAATATAAAATGCTTTCAAAAAATACTAACTCTGTTATTGTTTTTGTACGTACAGGAATGGATTCCGTGAAGGAACAACACCTAAGCCCAAGAGAGCTGCCGTTGCAGCATCCAGCTCATCTTAAGGACTCATCTGTTTGTTAAAATAAATGGTCTAATCCAGAAAAAAAATTGTCAGGTTTTTTTTACACATATTTTACTTTAGTGAAATGGTAAGGTATCTATATATGTGCGTGCGAGTGTGTGTAATAGATTCTGACAGAGTGTTGTGTTGAAGTTCATTAAACACATTCCTTTAAGTGATTTCTCATCTGATCATATTTCTATCTTTAAGAGCGTTCATCTAAATACTGTAATTGCTGAAGTTTTTTATGGGCAAAGTATATAAGTATTCTTTATACCAACACAACTTTTACGCTGAATAATTTCAAAACTCCCTTCTGCATAACAAGACTTCTACATATACATCGCTTATGGTTGATATAATTACTAATTTGTACACAATTCTAGATATGACTATAAATGCACATTTTTTCCTTATTCTGCCTAAAAGAAAGCATTTCACTTACTAAGGAACTATAAATATTCTCATCCTAATAGAGTTGCTATATGCACTGGAGTGTACTTTAAGAATAACTTACGGCTTTATTTAGCTGATCGCTGTCATTTAATGTTAGTATGTAAAGTTTTTATTGACTTATATTCTGAAAATAGGCAGTTCTAAGGGAAAACTTTTTTTAAAAAAGGGGTTGTCTGGTCTTATTTAATCTTCTATTTTAGTGTACTAATGTTCTGTTCACTGTTTTTCACAATTTAAAAAAGACAGGTCTGCAAAAAGTGTCTAACCCATTTGTTCAGAGAGTAATCATTTGGGTTGAGTGAAGTTTCCAGCTATGGAAAGAATAGTGTTTAAGTCACTAATGAACATGTGGCCTTAGCCTAGTCCTTATTACTAACAAGACCTAATCTGCAATTGAGGGTCGGGCATCTGGATAGACACCTCCCCTGCTCCTCCAAAAAGAAAACAACAAAAAAAGCAGGACCGCAGTAACATTCTATTGCTAGGATCAAGATACCATGTGTGAGGGGGTTCCCCGCTCTCTTCTCCTCCCCATCCCCGGGGATTAGTGCTCTGGGGTTTAGGGATGTGCTGTATGTGTGAGTTACTTGTGTAGGTTAAATGAGCAGATGTTTTGTGCATTAGTCTGTATGTTGTGGGAGAGGGCTGGTTAGAAATCTCTCGGAATGGGTGTTGATGGTTCTGATACTCCATAGCCTGCCCTGGAAGACTTGGTTGGTCACCCACAACTGGTTCTTTATCTCTCTCAGGATGATGCCATTGGAAAAACTGCTGTATGGTGAGTGTAGGCTGGGTGCAGTGACTTGAGGCCCCTTAAGTGAGGGAGGGCAGAACAGGCAAGACAGCAAGGGTGAGTATTTCCTGCAACAGTAGGTCTAAAACCAGGCTGAGATGTTTATGGTTCCTTTTGTTTCACCTTGTAACAGGTCAGGAGTGCAGGGTGTCAACAAGCAACTGTTACTTCACCTTATTACACTATTGAAAGAAGGGTCAGTCACAAGTTTATATTCTACTAAAGTTTATACTCTGATATCTTGAAAGGATGTTAGTCATGTCTTTGCTTCCATACCTGGCCTGGCCTGGTATTGTAGAATGATTACTTTCGTGGTAAAGGTCTACCATATACCTATTTCCAGCCTGATAGACGGGTATATGGTAGAGCACGAGCAAATAAAGATTGGGGAGGGAGTGCAGCAGATCTATCCAAATTATGTAATTGTAGATCTACTTGGGCCATTTTTAAACTAGGAAAAATTACTACTGCCCCACTCTCCTTCCCTCAGCTGATCCTGTTATGATAGCAGAAACCCACTCTATCCATCAATTGTTTTGATATTACCACTTTTGTTAAAGGAGACCTTTTAAGACTCATTTTAATTTCAAAAGCATTTTTAATTCTACAACTATGTAATTTGCTGTGGTGATGGTTTCTCATGTTAGTCTTGTTAAGTATGTGTAGTTTGGCTAAAAAATGTCTATGCATCGTATGTGTAATGAGATGCATCTATAGCACACGTGCACCATCCTGGCAGAAGTGTAACTGAGCAATGGGGATGAAATTAAAGGAAGGTAGGATGGTTAGGCGAGCTTCCTAGTATTGAATGCTTTGATATATCCCACTTTTTCAGCTTCCTTGAATGAGAGCATCCCCAGCCCTTGAAGCATAGGGAAAGCTTCTGTCCTGACACACCTAACAATAGTAGATGTGACCTGCTAGGTCTTTCCTTCAACAGTATGTAAATTCTTTTTCTACATGGCAAAAAAAAGTTCTCTGATTTTTTTCAAGGACACAACTGACCTAGGAATTTTTATTTTGTGAGCAATCAGATCTACTGACTAAAAAATCCAATATGCTGTTGTAAAGAAAAATGCCTAGCTCTTTGCTACTACTGCCTGTCAGTTTCCCTGATGTGAAATATATTGGGCTGTCAGAAAAAGGTCAACTTATGTGATGATCAAATAGAAGTGCTGGAGCAGAAAATCAATAATATGTGTAAACACTGAAAGAGGAATGAAAGGGGATTTTTATTCAGTACTGCAGTATAATAAGCTGTTGATTACTTGAACATCAAGTGAAAAATGTGCAAATGTTCAATTACATTTTTATATTGTATTCATGGGAATTTCATAAATGATAGAAGTCTTATATAGGTACAGTTGTTGGAACTGTTGGTCAATATCAATTGAACATTATTGAATTTGTGGACTGAAGACTGAATATCATTGGTTTTTCCAGGTTCTTGCTTTGCTGTAATCTGCTAAACTACTACTGTTTATTATTGTAAGAAACCCCATAAAATATTTAATGTGATAATTACTGGTGAATTATTTAATGTTAAAATCACACTTTGTGTTTGAGAACCATTTTTCTTGAAGGGTAGGAGTGAAGCACTTGAAGAACTAAAGTTTATAGTTTTTTAAACGTTCTGAAGCTTTCCAATACACTTAAGCATGTCCATATTCTAAAAACAAAACAAAATCTTTTAAATAAATACCCCTTTATTGATAACTATCCTATCAATAACAACAGGACCATTCAGACCCGATTGTAATCAGTTTTAGTCTTTTCGCCATCTCTTTTTCAGAGCTTGGATCAGGCCCTTGTTTATAAGAATCCTCTCTGGTTCTGTAGAGAGCTATAGCTTGGAGGATTTGGCAAAGGCAACTGGTAGCTTTCTCCTCTGACATCTTCCAGGTTGGTTAGTTAGGTCACATCTCTCAAGTTTTGTTGAAACTTAATAGACCAAAGTAGGTAGAAGCTGTTTTGTTTTCTAGTTCGGTGCAGGTAAACTTTTTGTCCAAAGTCTCTGAGAGAATTTCACTGCATTTAAAGTAAGATGGGGGATGGTGGTGACCTAACATGATGTCTCAGGAGATGTGCTGCCTGCCAGGAGCCCACATCTTAGAAGCTATGGAAAGGGTGCTGAGGATCATCTGTCCCTCTGACAGTTACTCCATGCTGCTTATCCATGGAGGCACTAATGATACTGCCAGGTCTGACTATCAGCAGTGACTACAGTGGCTCTGGGAGTGTGAGGGTAAAGGTGTCGGGGCGCAGGTTGTGTTCTTGTCTATGCTCCCAGTCTCAGGGTAAGGGCTCAGGCAGGGACACGCACATCCTGAGGATGAATGCATGGCTGCACGGATGTTGTTGATGGGAGGATTTCCGATTCCTCCACCATGGGATACTGTTTCAGAAAGAAGGTCTGTTGGGACAAGATGGGGAAGAGCATCTTTGCACACTGACTCACCAACCTAGGGAGGAGGGCTATAAAATAGGTTCAAAGGGGGCAGGTGACAAAATCCCACAAGCAAGCATAGAAGTGGCCTTACTGGGCGGGGGGAATAAGAAAAGTTACAATAGGGTCATAGGAGCAACAAGAGGGAAGTCATTTCAGATGTCCATACACAATATGAGGAAAAACAGGAAGAACTGGAAATATTAGTACATAGCCAAATTATGACTTAATTGGTATCATGGAGACTTGGTGAGGTAAATCTTGACTGGAACGTTGGTATAGGGCAGTGGTTCTCAACCTGTGGCACAGTCCGCACACAGCTGCGGCTCATGTGACATCCTCAGGGCCATTCAAGTAGTATTGGATGCGGCCCACGTAAGACGTGGGCTGCATATGTGGCCCACAATGGTAAATAGGTTAAGAACTACCAGTATAGAGATATAGTTTGTTCAAGAAGGACAGGCAAGAAAAAAAGGTGGTGTAGTTCTGAGGTCCAGAAGAAAGTGAAAAGCAGACCAGCTGAAAGTCTCTTGGTAAAGATAACAGGGGAAAAAATAGGGGTGATGTCATGGTAGGGGTCTACTCACAGACCTCAACATCAGGGAGAGGAAGTGGATGAAGCATTTATAAAACAATATCCAAAACACAACCCCTGGTAATAATGCGGGACTTCAGCTACTCCGACATCTGCTGGAAAAGTAATATGGCAAAAAACAACTGTGATGTTTCACTCCATATTCTTTATGAAAATATGCTTATGATGTAAATATGACATAGCTGGGATGTACTTTATGCAAGATGGGTCTCATAAGATATTGGAAAGGTTATAATTTCTTGAATATGATTATCCAATTTGTATGCCTGTATCATTTCTGTATATATCTGTATTTAAACTATGCTACTTTGGGTGACGCCCACTGCTAACACTTCAGGTACAACACTGGAAAAGCCAGACAGGGCAGATGGCTCATCAGCGAGGACAATGGAGTGTGAAAAGGCTTGGCCTTCCTGTGGACCCTCCATACTGCCACTAACTCATGGATACTGTAATACTACAGAGTCAGGTGGTCTTGTCACCTGATACTAAACATTACCTGGGACTGCTTTCAGAGTGGTAGCCATGTTAGT